CGCGAACTGCTGCACCTGGTTCGCGTTGTCCTCAAACTGTGCGCCCCTGCAGAGGCCAAGGTCGCCTGGTTGCGTTCAGGTCAGCCCGTGGATACACCCTGCATAGTTACAGTCTGGTGATCAACTTACATTGTGTTGATGCTGCCGTTACATCTTCGAGGGGGATAGTCGGGTCGGCGTTGACGGTGTCAACGGCGTCTTGTCCGCATACAGCAGCCATCGCGGCACCCGCCTGCCTCGCAGGAGGAAAGGTGATGTTGCCGTGGGCGGAGACCGCCGCGGCGAAGAGAGAGGCGCTGACGATGGATGCCTTCATATTGACGGTGTTGGAATTTGTAATGAGCGAAATTAGTGAAAGAGCGACTGGCGATTACAGAGAAAGCGAGTGCCCAGCACTGAATGATATAGTATGATGCACGTATTATTCAGGAACCTGAGAACTGACAAGCCGAGACCGTCAAGCTTCCGCCCAAGAAGACGGCTTCGGACATCCTTTATGGGTTGGGCGATCCAATGCCAAGATGGCCCACGGAATAGGTTTCGGATGGCATGCGAACCTCGGGATACCGCACCGACATCTCCTGGGTGTCAGAAGGATAGGGCATCCAATCGATGAGCCTCTTACCCGAGTACAACAGCCCATCTACCCAACTCTACTGTGTAACTCGGCGGAGCCGGAGAAAGTGGCACTGCAGCCTGACTGGGGACGTCCCAGGACCTGATGCAGGCCCGGGTTTGAGGCTCTGCTGTCTCCCGCTTGAAACCACGCTCATTGGGAGAGCGGAATCTAGGTTGGCGGTTTGGTTGCATACTGCCAAGATGCTAGGGGGTGGGGGTTGAAACCTCAGACGACTCGCATACTCAGAAGCAGTCAACAGCGTAAGATCGGCACCCCGGCCAAATCTGCGCCAACCCAAACGTCTGCCTGTTAATTCTGAAAAGAGCGAGAGCAGCTAAAGCTTGTGTGGGTGCTTGGTTTTGCTTCATTTTGGGATCCGCGTTTGGCAGGCCTCCTTGTGTTTTTGCTGAGAAGATCTTGGCCCACCAAGCACAGACTGTGTTCACAGTGATCTGCTGTGTGCAAATCATAGTAGCGATCTTTGGGAAGAGTGGATTCAACTTGCATCACAATGTGAATTTGCCTCTGGTTCGGAGTAAACTCGTTGCCGCAGGGAACGGACGACGATAACCTTAAGCACGCTATGGCGTACATTCAAATGCCTAAGTGGCATGAGTGGGAACACACAACGAGAGATAGGAGGATGAACTTAAAGCGTGCCATCTAGCTATACGAAGGAGGCGTAATTACTCGTATTTCCCCAGTTTCTGTTTCGAATGTCGGCTTGGGAGGTGTCCGCGTCTGTCATAGCTGATAATCGCTTACAGTAGTAGTCCGCCGTAAAAACTAAGTATAGCGCATTATAACCCCTTTTCCAAGACAGCTTGACAGGCACGCTTCTCCTTGTTTAAGGCTGAGACCCTGAAAAGGCTTACTGACCCTTGCATACTTGTGATGGAATTTGACTCCGTCATTTTCATAGAAAAGCAACAGATATCACCCATGACCTGCAATATTCCACGCCAGACTCCCCAGCCTGAAGTCGTTGACATGGCAAGGCGCTACTAGTAAGCGTCTTGGGTCATTCTGGGGGATAGTTCCTTGAGTAATTAGCAATAAGTTGAAATAGAGCCTTCACTCGCACTTTCAGTCACAGACCAGTCCAACTAGTAGTTATTGGTGGCTAAAGGTGCAGGCTATTCAGAGTCTTTCTTCTTTTGTCGGCAGGTGTGACGTGCAGGTGGCCCAGCTCACCAACCTAATTTAAAACCAATGCAGCTTCCGAATTTTGGACGCGAGAAATAGTGTATCAAAGAAGGCGTGAGCAAGGAACCGGTGTTGAAACTCCTTCATACGATTCCCCCGGATAATAACCACCGGCAATCAATTGGTGCCCCCGCAGAGAATGTGGAGATAACGTGTGTGAAACGGGGTGTCGGGCAGATCGAACACGACGAACAGATCACCCAAGTGCGACTTCAGACAGAAACAATTAGTTTCAGTCCAAGTGTAGAAGCCAGAGTAGGTAATATGGCCACCACTGCTGTGGCTGGTCTCTGATAATGAAAGAGAAGGCACTACACATATGATCAAAATATCAGAATGCGTTGCCCTGTTCGACGTTTGGAGCCGGACCCGGAAGTGGGAAGACCAAGACTCACTCAAGGGCTATGACTCGCACGCAGGCTGGATCCAGGGCAACAAGAAAACCGGCACAAATTATAAGCACAACGAATGCCATTCCTTCAAAGGTAACTACATAATTAGAATTAGGAGAATTCTCAATTGAACGAGAACTTAGGTGGTGTAGCACGGCTCGCAACGGACGGGTGCAGGGAAGTGATCAACACCAGCATCATGAGAACGTATTAGTGAGAAACCATAAAGTCTCTTATCAGGGATACAAGTAGCCGTAGAATCGGAAGTCAACGTCCGAGTCAGGGCACGCAATGAAGATAAACGCCCTAGGAGCAAGCTTGTCAAGGGAAGAAAGATCAACCACCGACTTCGACAAGCAACATCTAGTCCGCCTCATCATATTACCAGCCCAGGTTTTCTTCACGCCCACCCATCCAACCAGGAAGGACAGCTACACAGACCCTAAACCATCACATCCCGATAAAGTCCACCCGAAAAGATGTCACCACCACTAATCCTCTACGCCATCCCACCCCGCGAGGGCCACATGCGCCCCGCCCTCCAGATAAGCAGCCACCTCGTGTCCCGCGGGCTAGACGTGACCATGCTGGGCGACGCGAAATGGTCCCCCGCCATAACCGCCATCGGCGCCCACCCCTCGCCCATCATCGGCCTCTGGGGCGCCATGGAGGACTACACCAAGTGGGGCGACATCATAGCCGCGCAGAATGCCGAGGAGCGCCTGCGCATCTCGCTGTCGGACGGCTTCGTGCGGCTCCTCCCCAGCGGTCTCGAGTCGGTGCGGGCGGCGCTGACAAACATCTGGTCGCGGCTTGGGGGCGGGGACGTGCTCAAGGGCCGGACGGTGGTGATCCTGTCGGATACGTGCTTCTCGGGGACGTTGCCGATCAAGCTGGGCACGGACCTGCCCCAGGGGTACGAGGGTGTTATGGTGAAGACGGTGGGGATCGGCCTGGTACCGCGATTCTGGGCGGCGCCCGAGAGGCCGCCGTGGGCCAGCGGCCTGCCGTATGATGTGTCTGAAGAGGGGATCACGCGGAACCTGGCGGCGCACGCGAGGAAGTGGGACGAGGCTGCCGAGGAGAGGGCGAGGTGGGTGCTCGGGGCGATGAACTGCAGCAAATCGGTGGATGAGCTGTACGGGGAGTACGACAAGGGCGAGACGGGTTTCAGGCGTCCGTTTTGGGATGCCTCGACGGTCTGCCACGACGTGGTATTCCAGATGGGCTTGCCGAGCTTCGAGTTCCCCGTGCCAAACGAGCCTGCGCACCTGAAATTTGCTGGCTCGCTGCCGCCAAAACCGATCGCTTCAGATTTACAGTACCCGGACTGGTACCCTGAAATATTGGAGAACAGCTCCAGCTCCACCTCTAAGCCGGGACGGAAGAGGATCGTGTTTGTGGCGCAGGGCACGGAAGTATTGGACCACAGAGATCTGCTGGTACCATGTGTGAAGGGCCTTGCAGGCCGAGAGGACATACTCGTGGTTGCAGTGCTCTGTCAAAAGGGGGCGACTATCGACAAGCACCTGAGTCTCTTCGAGGGCGGAAAACTGCCTCGAAACGCTCGTGTCATCGACTACTTCCCATACGATGCGATCCTCCCGCATGCGGACGTCTTCGCCTCGAATTCTGGATACGGAGGGTTGACTCACGCAGTTGCACAGGCTGTCCCCGTTGTGCAGGCAGGAGATGTCTTTGACAAGCCTGACATCGGTCGAAGGGTCGAGTACTCTGGTCTTGGTGTTTTCCTTACGAACTCACCACCAACTCCCGAAGCCGTAGCGGCGGCTGTGGATGAAGTTCTGGCCCAAGACAAGTACAAGAAAAGAGCCTTGAGCTTACAAGCCGAGTCCTGGGAATATGACCCGCTTCAAATCATCGAGGACGGGATCAGAGCCTTATCTTGAGGTACACGAATCCTATGAACATTTAAGCACATAATTAATTTGGCTTCTTGTATTGCCTTGCATTTGCCTCAATCATCATATAGGGATTGAATTGTTTTCGGGTTTACAGGTTCTGTTGGCTCATGTGAAACCACTGGCCACGTAGAGCCATGATATGGGACTTTGGTCATAATGCAACAGTATGGTAATCTTATGGACTATATTTGAAGAAGAAATAGAGGATAATAGAAGACGATGCAAAAAGTTGGACGCGGTCGGACAGGGAGCAAGCGCAGTTTGGCCCAGCTTGAATCGCGTGCCGATTTGATGACTGCCATCGCAGTAATTTGTGGATTCATTCTGAGACCAGAGGAGCCGAGGCTTGTAATCTGAGAATCATGAGCGTAAACGGCGTACTAATATCGGACCGGGAGTTAGGTATGAAATGGTGGCTATGACAAATTGGCCTGCTCCTTGGAGCCTTAGATCACAGTGGCAACTAAACTCACCGCTCGATAGCTATCGAAGACCATTGGATGCCAGACAGACAGTGCATTTGTGTGCAAATATCAATATCAAGCTGCAGACACCCTCTTATATAGTGGGCGATTGGTGACCTGAGTTGTGGGCTCGTGATCACAAAATTCCCACAATCCCGATGGTAAATTTTGTCACTGGAGTTGCCAGCTAGTGAATGAGCTGTGCCGTGAATCACCTTCCGACCGTTCTCCGATGGGAAGACAAGACGTCCATGCCAGGTTGCTGCAGATTGCACCAGCCCGTTCTAAGCTTTCTCTCATAGTAAAATTCGAGCCTCACCACGTGCAGCGCTCTGCGTCGATTTTCAGGAATCCCGTGGCCATGGATTAAAATGAAATGTATCCTTCCATCAAAGGGCGTCTAGCTCAAATGGTAGAGCGCGCGCTTAGCATCGATCCTCTCATCTGAGGATAGCATCTTGCGCGAGGTACACGGTTCGATCCCGTGGTCGTCCATTTTGCCTATTGTTGGGTCATCAACCTTCCACACTTGATCCCTAGCGTCACATTTTTGCCCTCGTGGGTCCCGGCATGGATGCATTTCTCATCGGAGGCGATACTGAGGCTGCTTTCGCTGCTGTCGACCGTGCAGATTCGCTGAGACGAGCCGGAAGGGGGCGTGGTAACACTAGACCAGTGCTGATGCAAACTTGGTGGCCCCACCCGCCGGGTGTCGTTCCGGACGGGCGAGGCGGCCCAACACGGCAGCGATTTGACGTCCCGTCTTGCCCGGTGATCAGCCCGGGACACACTGCGAGCGATCCGCAGGAGTGAAGCCGGATTGTCTGAGGCATCCCGGGACTTGGGGTTCGCCTCCGAGATAGAACTGGGGCCGGAGAAGGGGCCTCCTTGGCGGAGGCTCACGGGCCTGGCCGCCGGGTTGAAACGCCTTGGTCGTCGATGAAACATCTCCGCTTACCTCCAAGTTGGCGGACTCGACGGGTGTCGACGCCACCAGCAGGCTTGAGCCGACCAAAAGTCCCGTCAGATAACTTCGGATTATTTTCCTAGGTTCCTCTTTCTTCAGCAGCGCATCCAAAAGTTGAGGTCGGTCGACAGATGAAATGCGCTTTCCCATACTCCTGTTCTTCTTGGCGTTCGTTGATGGCTCGAAAGATGGCCTCCCGAGCGCCGATATCGAGGGCTTCTGCGCCTGGAGCCCTCTCCTGAAATTGAACGAGGATGTCTCCTGCCGCCCGAACACAGCTTCCGTAAACTCGGAGGGCGTCACGGACAGGCTCGCCCGCCACGGGACCGAGGCAGCAGCAAGTTCGAATGAGACTGGCTGGGAGGGCCCGAAGCACTGCGTGAGAGAGTACTGCGTCTACTCCAACCGAAAATTCGCAGGAGGCATCACGGTGATCACAACAGCCGAGAATGCGAAGCGGATAGCAGACATCCCTGAGATCACCGCAGTCAGGAGTGGGCCGCCCCCCTTCTATGCTGCCGAGGTGCCAGGCAAGGGCACAGGGCTGGTCGCGAACCGCACGATCAGGCGTGGGGAGATGATAATGACCTGGCAGCCGAGCTTCGTGATACATCGTCGCTTGCCCGACGACCTGGGACAGGAGGAACAGTATCGCGTGTTGGATGCCGCGCTGCTCAAACTGCCAGCCCAGCGTCGGCGAGCCTTCCTGAAACAGCTGGGGCAGTTCGGCGGGCACCGCGTCAGCGACATCCTGTTGACCAACTCGTTCCAGATGGACGTTGGCGGGGAGGGTGACAGGGAGGAGGGACATCACCTGTCGAACTTCCCTGACGTGAGCTTGTACAACCACGACTGCCGGCCAAACACAGCCTTCTACATCGACGACCACCTGACCCACCACACCCACGCCGTCCGGGACATCGCCGCCGGGGAGGAGCTCACGCTGACGTACATGAACCCGTTCGAGACGTTCGCGGCGAGGCAGGCGCACATCCAGCAGTCGTGGGGGTTCAAGTGCACGTGCCAGCACTGCACGATGGCCCAGGACAAGATCCGCGAGTCGGACGCGCGGCTGTACGAGATCGACGAGATGGAGGCGGCGCTGGGGGACTTTGCGAGCCCGAAGGCGTCGGTGGAGATGGTGGACCGCCTGCTCGAGGTGTACGAGCTGGAGAGGCTGGACGTCAAGGTGCACGGCGCGTATGTGCTCGCGGCTCTGAATTATAACTTGTTTGGCGATGCGAAGAAGGCGAAGAAGTACGCGAAGCTGGCGGTCGAGACGGGCATTGTCGAGTTCGGGCCGGATGCCGACGACGTTGCGGCGATGAGGGAGCTGGCACGAGACCCCAAGGGTCATTTTACCTGGAGGAAGCGAGTTTGAGATTCAAGTGAGGGTGCACACGACTATGCCTTGCACGGTTTTGAGGAACAGGGATGGAAGTGATCTGGGTCGAAGCCTCGTCAGGATGTACGACAACAGAAGGAAAGAGACAGCCAAGGAGATGCCTTGACGCGTTAATGGAAGGCACACCCGCGGCTGGGACGCGCGACACAACCACACCGAGAGTCCCCAAATCCCATCACTCTGTAGCTTTGTCGACTTTGGCATCATCTAACATTTATCGAAATGGATTCCAAGTCACCAGTGACTTTCTGGTTGAAGAATGTTGCACGGTGAGGTCGTCCCACTCAGTGGTACTCCGAAATGACTGAGGAAGACTCGCACTGCAGTTGAATCAAAACATCTGTAGCAATTCGCCGGCTATGCTATCTAAAACATGAATGGAAATGCAACATCGCTGGTACTATGGTATCCCGACAGAAAGAAACGTTCGTACAATCGTCATGCTCGCCCATCCTGCGGCTCCTCAAGAGTCCGTCCTGGTCGCAGTGCTCCTTTTTCTTTTGCCCCCTTTTCCATTTCTTCCATTGCACTCCAAATTTTAATTCCCTCATTTTGATGGCTACCACATGTGCACTGGGCAGTCGATACCCGTCAATGGCATTCATTCATCGTGTCCAGTCCATGCCCCTCCATCCTCCCCTGCAGTCGTGTCCCGTCCGACCAGCGCGGTCCCTGCTCCTTGCTCCTCCCCCGATCACCCGCCGTTCAGTCTCGGAGTATTCGCTGTCGTAGTCGCTGTCGCGCACGCGCCCGATGTCCTTGACGCGGAGCACCGTCCGCGCGATGTACCTCCGCCGCTGCCTCCTCAGGGGCCGGCCCCGGGTCATGGAGTCGGACCTCCTCGCCGCGGTAACCACCACCCTGGGTGTGACGCAGGCCTCGGAGCTGCAGTCGTCGGCCTGGTACTGCTCCTCCTCCTCATCCTCCTCTGCCTCGACCTCGACGTCGTCGGCCCACCTTGCCGTGGTCTCCCACTCCTGGTCGTCTTCGGCGTCTTCCTCGATGGCGTAGCTCTCGTCGAGGTCCTCCCGGGACGACGGGATGTGGTGCAGCTTCCTCTGCTGCTGGACGTAGGCCTGCGAGTTGCTGCTCAGCATGGCCGGGAAGGAGAGCAGCATCTGCAGGAAGACGGCGACGTTGACGATGATGAGGGTCAGGCCCAGGAAGGTGACGCACACGGCGATGAAGCTCGACATGGCGGGCACAGGGTGGAGACAGATAATTGCTGGGTTGGGTATTGTGGTTTTTTGGTCTCAAATATTCAAATCGCTGGGCCAGGCCAAGTCAAGGGAGAAACAAGGATCCTGCCCTGGTCTAGTGTAACAGCAAGCACAGTGATATGGAGTAGCAATCAAGGATTCAGGAACGTGGTACAGTCGCACACGGGTATCATCGCTCTACGATGAAGAAATCAGGAAGAGGAGAGTCCAGGCCTCTCCGCAACTTCGAGGAGGTCATCGCACAGATATACAAAGCAGAATCCCGCACATTCCACACCTGGGCCATCGCTGACTCCCTCGGAGTCACTGACTGGAATGGGCACGTCGTCGAAGGTGCCGGGGTACGGGAAGGGAAGGGAAGGGCTGGGCTGGGGGCCCCCACTAGAAGGCGAAAAGAACCCTTCACCGCAACAAACAAGCCCGCGTGCCCGCCAGCCCAGGACTCGACGGGGCCCCTCGTCGGGCCCTCCCGCGATCAATTCCATTGGGCCACACGCTCCCCGATTACATGGCGCCATGCCCGATGGGGCCATTGGGATCCTCAGGGAGAGTGGGCTGCCACTATGCTGTCCTCACATGTCTGCATGCATATCTATCTTGCCCATCGGCGCTGCTGGCTCCAATGCTGACCGCGCGGGTGGATTCGAACGCTGCATGCAGGCTCTCTTTTCGCTGCCCTTCTTGCAGTTACTCCGGTTTCCTCTCTCGACGCCTGGCCACGAGACCTTTGGCCCCTTGCTGGCCAATGCTCAGACGTGGCTCTCCTCTTTTTGTGACCTCAGAGGCGCAGGGGGAGGAGCGACGGCGGGGAGGGGTAAGTAAGGACAGGTAGAAACGGGGCGGTGTGTGGTGCTGCGAAGCGAGCGATCCGGCGCACTGGGAAGGCTAGAACCAGAAACTTCCGGGCCATGTCGTGATTGTGCTGCATTCGGGGGCAGTGGGAAGGGGGTGTTCGCGGGGGGCCGGGAGACGTGCAGAAGTTCGAAAACCTACTGCCGCACGCGTTCTAGTGTGAAAGTCTCTTTCTTGCCTGAACAGTTCGGTGCGTTTCTGGACCGGACCTTATTCGGGTCGGGGTTGGTCGCACGTACGTGGCTTGCGTCAGGCGCGTCAGCTCTCGGTGGGTTCTTTTCTCTTCGCCATTGCAGCATCGCCAGAACGTGACATGCCGCGGGTAAGCCGGTCTTGTGCTTCCAGCCCCGTCTTCTTGATACTGTCATTAACGACAAGGAGCCGCTTTCACATGATTTTGAGGCGTGGATGAGGTCGGTTTTGAGTTGTCCATGCCGCGATCAGCGCGGCTGGCAGGGATCATGTCCCGACTGCATGCAGCTGCAAAATACCCGGGCCAAGCGCTGTGCTTCCCTTCCACATGCTGGAAAAAGAAGCATGGACAAACCTTGTGAAGAGCAATGAACCATGTGGTTCTGAATAGGGGATGGTCTCATTATCTCCAGGCGGTCGACTCTCTTCGACTCTCTTTCCAGGAACGACTTTTCTCTGAAACCCTACAAGAGCTCAATCTCTGCTTGGGCAGTATCAGCGGACGCATGGGTACCTGATACAAGAGTGAGGTTCATGCAGAATGTGGGTCACGATGCCAGCAAGCAGACCGTTGATGAGGGTACCCTGTCTTGCTGGGGAAATGGAGTAAATGTGAGTCCACTACTTCACATATGTCGTGCAGAAAATGAAATTTGTCCGTTCGGTGTCAGCGCTTGATGAATATTCATCATGAGCCCCACGTATTAGGTTTGGTGAGGATGGCGTGGACCGTCTACGTGAGCAGACTCTATTCTTAGAAGATGCCATCGCAGTGACTTGACTTCCCTTTCCTTCCAAACAAGGACGGTCATGGTGACTCATTTCCGAGTGGAAGTGTGCGGGACTGCAGTGTGCGTTT